ATACCACATCACTTTGTCTACGGAGTTTATATGCTCTTTATACACATATGGTCTCTCGCCACCTATGAGCTAAAACTTTTCTCCAAGCTCCAATTAACTTCTTCTACGTCACTTTGAGTGTCTCCCTTGATTTTCCATACTCCTTTGATTGTGCATATTCGTAATTACCTGGATTTGATTATAATTGATATTGTAATATTCTCTTACCTTCAATAGTCATCTTATAAAATCCATAAACATCTTATGTGCTCTTAATTATGATATGCACAGAAATATACAATTCCATTATTGATATTCTTGTCTTGGTACAATTCTACCCTAGTTTATTTCGCATGTGCAGGCCATCATTCCTTAAATTCCATATTCGTTCCTAATCCAACTTGTACGTAAGAGTAGGTACTAACATATATCGCATCGTTTTGTATCCAGGATTTATATACTCTTTATATACATGTGGTTTCTCCCCATTTATGGACTTAAACTTTTCTCTAAGCTCCAGTTGACTACTTTTACGTCACTTTGAGTTTGAGAGGATGTTAGAGATAATTAGAAGATTCTCCATAATTTGCTTAATTCTTCCTATCTCTCTTGATTATTCATATATCTCTATTGATTGTGCATATGTTTTATTGATCGTAATTGATTGTTATTGATAATGTAATGTTAACTAAAATAGTCATTTTATAAATACCTCATCTTATAGAGTTTACCAATACCTCTTGTACTCTTCATTTGGACATACACATATATTATGCAATTCTCTATAGCATGATTTTATCTATTAATTTTAAGCAAAAGTTACATTTTTTTTCTTTCCGGTCATAATTTAAAATAGTAACCAATTTTTTAAAAAGTTATGCAAAAATTTACATTTGAAACTTTCAGGTGTATCCTAAAAAAGAAAAGTCAAAATTTATGCGTTGCGTGACAAAAGGTAAAAGTCAATCGAAACATGCACATACAGCAAAAACGGGGAAAAGTACCAAAAACATCATAAACCTATTGCAGTGGTACTAATTCAGTCTTAAACATTTCAATTGAACCAAAGTCCTAAACATTTTCACATTGGTACCAATTGAATCTATATGGACAATTTAGGTCGAAAATTGCTGATATAAACGTCAGTTATCTTACGTGACACAGTTGACGTTAACATGGACTTTTTTTAAATTTAATTATTTTTTTAATTTTTATTAATTTTTTCCTTTTCTTCATTTCTTCTCTTTTCCTTCTTTTATTTTTTTTCCTTTCTCTTTTTTCTTTTGCCATATATCCCTTTGCCAGTCACCAGCCTCCGTGATGGCCGGCAGAGGTCGTTGGCCACAAGCAAGGGCTGGATGAGGCCATCATTGCCATATCCAGCGAGGGGACCCTCGCCCAGCCCTTGCCTGAGGCCAGCAAGGCCCCTCGCCATCTGGGCGAGAGTCCCCTCGTCGGATCTGGCGAGCTTAGTTGCCTACCCAATTATGACGAGAGCAAGAGGGGCTCTCATTTTGGGCTTGGAATTGCAGAGTACGTAGTAAGTCAGGTCGTTCTCGAGCATGTTGTACTCGGTCCTGAAGAGCTCATCCCTAAGCATGTGGTCCATGTGGACTAGCGACCGGAACCTGTGCTTCTTCCCGAGCTACAATATTTCTGTGAGGAGCAAATCCTAGATGGCGAGGGGCCTCGCCGGCCTCTTGTGAGGTCCCCTCACCGAATCTGGCCTCGCCTCTGGTTGGCGAGGGCGTCTCAGCCCTTGCCCTGTGCCCACGATGGTCATCACGAATTCTAGCGACTGGCAAATAGAAACAAGGAAAAAAAAAGAAGGGAAAGAAAAAAAGAAAAGAAGAAAAAGAAAAGGAAAAGTTTAAAAAAATTACAAAAATAATTATCAAATAAAATGTCCACGTCAACTTCAGCCGTGCCACAAAAGACAACCGGCGTCTACGTCAACAATTTCCGACTTAAATTGGCCGAATGGACTTAATTGGTACCAATATGAAAAGATTTATGACTAAATTAGTCCAATTGAAAAATTAATGACTGTATTTGTACCAATACAATAAATTTAAAACTTTTTTGGTACTTCACAAAATCTAACTAGCTCTCTTACACTTCAAGTCAATTGAAGCTCCAATTATCGGACACTGCACGAAGGACTCAAATATTGCCGTGTACTATAATAATCCGATTAATCCTTATCATATGCCGAAGGACAATAAAGCGTTTAATCAAATGATATCATAGTATAGCAATGTCACCTCGTACAATCATATTACTTCACCATGCACGCGGCGTGAAAAAGTCGTAACATAACGATGCATAACTCTAAGTTCATATGAATCGTTAAATCTGATAGGCAGCCATGTAGCAGCAGTAGTAGTTGTTGTTGTAGTGCACGCACGTAATGGGTTCGCATAGACGCGTGATGCATTAAATGAAATGTGACGTTGCATACGAGGAAAACATGCGTCCGATGTTCTGGCCAGATAAGGAATTTGGATAATAGGCAGGCGGTGGCAACGGAAAGCATTGATTGCATTTACTGAATTTGGCCTTTACCCTCATGAATGACATGATGAACCCGTTGCCATTCCCGTGAAGAAGCTAATAAAGCTTCTTTGTTTTATGCCTTGGTCGGCGACTTTAATTGCTCCCGCCCCTTATCTTGCCTTTTTCCATTTTTCAAAATCGTTTTCTTCCCTTTGCACTTGCTAAAAATCTCTTTCGCCCAAAAAAGGAAAATTTAAGAGTGACTAACCATACGAAAATTTTTTGTCACGCCATCGTTATATTTTGTAATTACTATCAGAGCGTGTGTATACATAAAGTTCCCTATCTATAGTGATTTTTATCATGCGAGACTGATGTTAGCGAATGCTTTTCGACCACTTGTTAAACATATATGATGATGAACAGAGCAGTTCTTCGAACATCGACTACACATAACGTGAATAATCATATATGAATTTATCCATAATATTTCATTATGAACTTATCCCTCGATTTTCAAAAGTTCGTTCGGTTTTTTAAATTCAAACTCCATGTATAAATTCTTAAAATTTTATATTTTTAGCTATGTTTGATTAGGTTTTACTTTTCGTTTTTTCATTTTTTGCTCGAACCTTAAGAATTCTACAATTTGATGTTGTTGATACGAAACACTTAAAATCGTTCGGAACACATAAGTATCATATATATATATATAATATTTATATATAGTTATTATGAAAATCTCTAGGGTTTGGACATTTCAACCCATGTTTCAAAATTCAACGGGAAAGGAAAGCAATTGTCCCATAGGAAAAGCACAACCGAACGAATGTGATGTGACCTATCCCTTTTCACATTCGGTTTATTTAATCCCTCTGCTGACATTGAAATTGAACGATTATTAAATGTCAAACACTAAGGCGGAGTAAAACAAAACCATCAAATGTCAAGTCACCTCGATCACTTTTTTAATAATTTCCAAGAAATTTAACAACACATCTTTCTTTAGGGGCTTCCCTAAGTTTACTTTTGTCTCTTTTCCCCTCCGTACCAAGATCAAGATCAAGATCACATCGGGGCTCAAATCAAGACAATGGGGAGAGCAGGGGGGGGGTGGGGACCAATGATGAACAGTCGAGAAAAACACGAGCCACATTTCAAATTGGATGGTGTAATCAATGACACAAGCCCTGAGCAGCAGCAGCAGCAGCTATCTATCACGCTTTTAGAAGGACACTTATAATTTCTTCCCGTCCTTTTTCTGCTCCAAAGCCCCCTTCCATTGTATGGTTCCCTCAAACGTCGCCATCGCAGGACGTCTTGTCCCGTATTTGTCCCGAATTTTATAGAAAAGAAAAATGGACAATAATGGTAAAAAAAAAAAATTTAGAGGGGAGGAAAAAGAAAGTCCCAACCCCCATCATAAAAAATCATTCTTCAGGAGCCGGACCCCTCAAAAACCAGAGCGCTGTTATTGAGAAAAAGACGAGGTAGCAAATCGCAAGATGACACTCGTGCCTTCCTTTCCCGTCCTGCCCCTCCCGATGGATGGATCGAGAGAGATATATGAACTCATGCTTTTGTGTTGGATTTGGAGAAATTGATAGTTTTGTTGCGTTAGATTTTCATGACATGAAAGAGAATTGTTTTGGAAATGTGATAGCTTCGTGTTAAGATTTGAGTTCTCTTGAATAAATTCATCTATCCCTTAATAATTATAACCCCCTGCTCTAAACATAGGGGAGGAGAAGAAATATCGAAATACTGCATAAAATATACCGAGACGATATCGGCTCCTGTAATACTGATGGTTATCGTATCGAGCTATGTGCGGTGCATATGAATTTTTCAAAGGCGAAAAGCGAGAGAAAGGCGAATGTCCAATCAATTAACCACGAAAGCATCGCATACATCTACGTTAGAATCTACTTTTATCCACCCAAACGAAAAGAAATTCTTCGGGGCGGCAGCTCTTATTAGGCGATGTGGTCCAGAAGACAGGACCTCGGCGTTTAGACTCGAGGGGGGGAGAGGGGAGCATCGTTACTCGCAACCCCACTATCCCTAATTAGAAAGATCCTAAGATAAGAACCCCATCATCGACCACCAAAGATATAAACAAAAAGGGGAGATTATTCAAGAGAGAGTGGAGGAAAAAAAAAGATATGGTCATCCATCCCATGGAGAATATAATCAAGAACATATGATATGCCCAAAAGGGGGCACTCAAAAGTTCTCACCACAAATCATCTCATCTTCAAAGCTCGAAAAATCATCCCGTCTTCAAAGCTCGAGAGAGATATGAATTGGGTCGGGATTCGGATTGGAGGGGATATTCATATTCTTGGTACACTCACGATCTCTCATCATCATCATCATCATCATCATCATCATCATCACACCAACAAGAAAACCCTTTTAGAATAAGGAGGGGGGAGGGGAGGAGGAGGAGGACCTCTCCCATGCCCCCACATCAAGAACCCGAGGCTTGCGATCGGCGGCCGGAGGGATCTTCAAAAGCCGGAGATCAAGAACTAAAGCGAAGATAGTTTAATTAAAGCAAGAAAACAAAGGGATTATAACAAAGAGAGTAAGGAATTAGGATATTCTTCTTCGGCACCCATTTACAACAAAAACCCACCCCTCATAATCTTTCTCCATTCTCATTCCCCCCCTCTTCTTTTTCATTCTGTCCTCTTCTCCAAAATGGCTACTACAACCTACACTAGATGGAAAAAAGAAAAAGAAAAAGAAAAAGAGCCCACAAAATATATATATATTTTTTTTAAAAAGGGTTTCCCTTTTCTCTCCTCTAAAATTGCTCTTTATCTCCTCCTAATTTAAGAAAGAAAAAAGAAAGGAAAAAAAGGAAGAGAAGAAATTTAAAAAAAAAAAAAGAAGAAGAAGAGAGGTTCTTGAAAGTCTTGCCGCTCTCTTGGGTCTTCGCTCGTCAGACCTCCCTGGGGTCAACAAAAATGGAAAGCCCCGGCGGTGACTTGGTCCAGTCACCGACAGACCCGTCACTGTAGTCCTCCCCGAGCCGCTTGATGCACCACAGGTCCTCGTCGCACGACAGCCGCTTCCAGTGCGGGATCGCCGGCCGGAGCGGCTCCCGGCTCGCCACCTCCGTCGCCACCACGTCGCAGCCGTGGTCCTTGGCCAGGTTGTGCGCGTGCGCGCAGAGGGCCCGCACCATCTCCCCCGCGCGCGGCCCCTCCCCGCCCAGCCCGTACAGGAAGTGGGCCCCGAACGGCCTGAACAGCTCCGGGAACGACGGCAGCCCCAGCCAGGGCAGCGCCCTGTCCACCGCCCGCGACGCCCTCGCCAGCGCCCGCTTCGCCGCGGACGCGCCCCGCACCTCCAGCTTGTACACGTCCCGCAGGTTCCACACGCTCACCACCGCCCACGACTCCGGCGGGTCCGCCAGGAACTCGGCCACCCCGCCCCAGGGCCGGTCCCCGCCGCCGCCGCCGCTTTCGCCGCGGGGGACGGCGAGGAAGGTGCCGAGGGTGAGCTTGTTGTTGAGGACGGCGTCGATGTCGCGCGGGAAGAACTCGGACGTGGAGAAGCGGAGGCGGTAGAGGAGCTCGGCGTCGCGGGGGCAGAGCTTGAGGACGGCGACCCGGCGGGGGACGCGGAGGTGGTGGGCGAAGACGGGGTTGACGAGGATGGAGGGAGTGCGGAACTTGGAGTAGCCGCATTTGGCGGTGAAGAGCTTGACGGAGGCGACGTTGTCGTTCTCGGTGGCCATGTAGCAGTACTCGCCGCCGCTCTCCCTCACCCACTCCTCCATTCTCTCCACCAGTTTGGACGCTATCCCCATCCTCCTGTACATGACACATTACGCAAAACATGAGCTTTCGTAAGTAAATGGGGGGCGAGAGAATGTGCATTTCTTCTTTATTTTCTAGAGAGGGAGGGAGAGAGAGAGAGAGAGAGATGGAGCCTAATAATTGGGAGGGTCAGGGGACAAATGATAAGGGGGTCGCGTGGCTTTCATTTCCATACATGGGGATCGTTTTTGGTAAAGACCATCATCATGCGTGTGCGTACGATTTTCAGATATTTAAATCGAAAGAGGAGGAGGAGGAGGAGGAGGAGGAGTTTCATGTGTGCGTGTTGGTACCTGTGAGTAGAAGGGACACGCAGGCCCAGTATGTAGCCGACCTTGGTGTAGACCGGGACTTGCTTGGTGGGAATACGGGAGTCGAGCGAAGAAGCGTTAGCGTTGTTGTTGTTGGTGGTGCTGGCCTTGGCGTTGTTGCTGTTGATGATGTTTTTGCTATTTCTGCACAGCCTCTTGCCGCATGTAACGGTCTTGATGCAACCCCTGATCATCCCCACTATCTCTTTTTCCTCACCCATCTCCGCCACCTAATCCAAGGAAAAGGAGAGAGAGACACACACCCAAATGAAAACTCCCCACAACCCCACGACACATTCATCACAACAGAGACTCACGTAACGCATACACACACGTAGCAGAGAGAGAGAAGCAGAGCGAGAGAGAGCGAGATAGTACCAGCATGAGGAAGGCGGGGCAGTTCCGGACCCTGCAAATCGGGTCGCCCATGTGGTCGGTGTAGAGGGAGAGCTCCCCGCTGGGCCCGACCTCGCATTCTCTCTCCACGGCATCCACCTTCACCCGGTCCTTTTCCGGGTCGTACTCTCTCACCACCACCGTCGCCATCGCAATCAATGCGCGTCTCTCTGCGCTTGTTACCGTCTCTCTCTCTCTCTCTCGCTCGCTCTGTTCTCTCTTCAGCACTGAACTCGGGTCGTCGTCACTCAGCTGTGAGCAGATAAGAGGAAGGTGGGTGCGCGCCCGCGTTTTATATAGGCCAAGGAAGAGAGAGGAGCGAAGGAGAAAGCCGCTCTAAAGAAAAGGGTGGGTGGGGGGGCCGCGAGAAGAAGAAGGTAAGACTGTGTAACGTGTGCTGAAAGCAAAGAGAGGGGAAGAGGAGGGAAAAGAAAGGGATTAAAAATTGCCCAACTCACGCTTCGAAACTAGAAAAGAGAGAGAGAGAGAGAGAGAGAGAGAGAGAGAGAAAGCGAGCAACCGAAACTGAAAAAACAGCGCACGGCCATGACCGTGACGATGACGATACGAAGTCGTCTGATGCAAAAGATGAAACGGACCCGAATAAACAAAAGAAGCCGAGAAAAGAAAGAAAGAAAGGGGAGGAAGGAAATTATACGATCCTTAATGGGCCGGCGGTCGAGCTCCTCCCTCTCCTCCCTCTCCGCTCCGCGTGCCAAGCGACTGTGCGCACCAGAAAGGTACGAATGGCGCCCCTTAAATTCCCTGAATTCAGGGGCCTCTTCTCTCTCTCTCTCTCTCTCCGCGAGCTCAAATTTCGTGCTCTTTCGAGTTCCTACTCGTCTTTCCCCCCCCCCCCCTTCTTTCTTCTTCCTTCTTTCTTCTTCTTTTCAAATTCCCATATTTCGCCCAATCTCTCTGTCTCTCTCTCTCGCTCTGTCCGTCCCCGAATCTTTCTCTGTTTTAGCGTTCCCCCCTCTTTTTTCTCTGGGGCCAGCAATGAGTCGAAAATTAGCGACTCGTTTAAGGTAATTCGAAAGGGCTGTTCCTCGTATTAATGGGGGCGATTAAACAGGGGTGGGGTGGGGTTTTACTGATTAATAATGATCATCGTCGTCATCATCATCACGAAGAAAAGGTCGGACGAGAGAGAGAGGGAGAGAGAGGAAAAGGGGTGTGGGGGGAGAGGAAATGGCGGCTGTGGCTGCGCGCAGTCTTGCGGGGCAATCGTTCTCCTTCCATTTTTTCTTTTTCCGCCTCTTTTTCCATTTGTTTATTTTCTTATTTTTTTTGTTAATCATTTCTTCCTATGTAAGAGAGAGAGGGAAGGAGAGCGAGTTGCCATCGTGACCCCATTTGTAATCATTACCGCTATCCCACTTCCCGCACCGTCCACATTCCTCCCGGTTTCACACCATCCATCATCCATCATCCACATCCATCATCCATCATCCATCTATCATGGCTCATCGCCACCATCCTCGTCGCCACCATCCCCATCTCACTATGGATGGGGGCATGCATCATCCATGTCGTTTATGAACCAATTGGATTTCAACTTCTAGAAAGGACCATGTTCTTTTCTTTTTTATTATTAGGTGAAAATTCACCATGGAGATGAATGCCTTCAATTTCAATACTAGAGTACATGTTCATTTAGGATAATTTATCTATCCTTAATCAAGGACAAAATTACATTCTCCTAGAGTAAGGCATCTTCTTCGCTCACTTAAATATTCTGCACATTTAAAAATTAATAATTTCCTAATTTTCTGTCAAAACATTAAACTCGACGCTCGATGGCGATGGTTGATTTGAGTCCTCTAGATTGCTATACTCTTATGCCCCTAGAAACCTCTATCTTATGATAATTGACACTCGCGAAAGAAATCTAAAAAGAGTTTGATTATATTAACCCTCGGTCGTATGCATCGCGGTTTTTTTCTTTAAAATGATATCGAACGGCACCAAAAAAAAAACCTTCGATGGCACAATTGGTTAGAACATCGGGAGTCAGATTAGCTGTTCGAATTTTATCAAGCGTGCGTAAATTGCTCCAGGTTAGGGTCCCCCACACGAGTCGAATGTGAAGATTTAATCAGTTTATGGACTTTGCCGGGTGTTATTGACGTGTATGATTGAAAACTCCTTTGTATTCACCAGTGAATTTCTTTTTCGGATTTTAATATTTCGAGTAAATTTATATTCCGAAAAAAAAAATGAATGAATGAGGATGGAATATCACCATACAAAATTAACGCAAATCCCTTACCAAAAAAAAAAATTAACGCAAATCATGCAAGACTAATGATGATATATATTTAGTGATCCTAAATACGGCACAGAATCTAGTCATGGCGTAAAGGTTTCTGTCTTTTTTGGAATATTCAGTAAAGTTTTCATTCTTCTTCTTTTTCGATGTAATCAATAAAAATTTACTCCTTTTTTTTTTGTCCATTAGTTTAATGGGGGAAGCGAAAACTGGCTACGTGGCCAAAAGGCGACCGTCGGTTCCGGGAGGCGACCCCCAGGAATTTCGGCCGTCGATGACGTGTAACTAGTAATTTTTACTTTGCAAAATTACTGATTATTTACTGCCCTTGCTCTTGTGGCTTGGCGTGCGCATCATGCTGATCGTAATGGGCTCTCGGTCCACGTGTACGGTCCCGATTGGTTTGATAGTGAGATTTCGGACAGAATTAGAGTCCCAGTGTCTGTAATTTTTTTGATTTTTTTTTTTTACGTGGCCCGCCATTTTCTTCCCCGAAGTTGGTGAGGTTTGCTTTGATTCCCATTGCTGTCCAAACGTACAAAGAAGAGGATCTACCACAAGATTGTAAGAAAAATTGGGAGCAAGAAGGGAATGCCCAAAAACAAAAAAAAACACTTTCGAAAATAGGATATTCAAAATTCTCATCTTTGCACGGGGGCAGGTATCAGCCTTGCCCGACCTCGCGAATCGGCCCTGTTTGTATAATTTTAGAACAAGTAAGTTTTCATTTGCGTGGACGAGATAAAGATAAGGGCTTTTATTAGGCGCATTGCTGACGTGAGAAATAATATAAATATTCACCGCTGGATAAGTCAATTAACGGAAAAGACTCGGTTATAAAAATAACTCCGAGCACAAGCATCACTCATCCAACGGTGAATTTCGTGCACTGGCCGTGGACCGACTCGGGTGACGATAGATAAAATTATTTTAAAAAAAAAGAAAACCTTTAAAAACAATCACTTGGACATACGAGATGCTAGTTTGAAAAGTTCTCTAGGCAAGCAATGTGGAACAATTGTTTTCCAAGCGGTCCATCTCCACGTGGTCCTCCCCATTGACTATGTTGTAAAAAGTTTAACCAACCCTCGAGTCCCGCTTTCTGTGAACTCTCCCGCGAGCCCATTTATTATCATCATCATTATTATTATAATAAAATGCCAATACTTTTTTTATTTGTACTCTCGTATAAATAATTAACTCCCTTTCTCAAATACTCCTAACTACTTATTTTAGGAAAATTATTGTCCGCGCGCTAAGCTCGAGTTATCGGATTTTTAAAAAATTCCTCATGAATGCCGTGTTTTGGCAAATTTTAAGCTATATTTGCTCGATGGCGACATTGCCACGGCTTAGTACATGTCATAGCAATTCCAAAAATGGGCACGCAGATATGTCGTGCGAAAACAACTATGGCATGCGACTTTTTTAATGTCGGTACAAATAGTAGCGTGGGCCGTGGGTACTGCTCTCCCCCAGGGGAATGTATAACTTTAGAATCTAAAGGAAAAAAAAAATAATGCTCCTCTTTCGATTAATTTAGAGACTTTAATGGTTCAGAGAAAATCGACATGTCAATTTGAGCCGGGCTCCTAATCAACAAAACCCGTCGTCTAACCATTTCCACGAAAACCCGGTATGTATCGGAGACCGGGTGATGGTCCGCGTGGGTGGGGTCCGAAAGGACCGATCGATACCTTAGTTTTTCCTTATTTTACTGCCGTTCCGAAAACGACCCCTCGAATAGTTGTTCATTGTTAACGATCGGCGCTAGGGTCAGAGGAAAATGAGAGGAAAGCCAATGACATGTTACACGAAGTTATAACTGAAGTTTCCTTCCTTCGAAAACGATACATACCATTAAACTAAAAAGCATAGTTTATGGATACCAACTCCAATAAGACATTTCTGGGCACCTCTCCACGAGACTCTTAACTAATTAACAATCGGGTATTAGTTTAATGTAGAATGTTAATAACCAAGAAGATACTTTTTATTGGGGAAACCTTAGCTGACAAGCAGAAAGGTCAGACGGGCCCCGCGACTTGACCGGTCGTGCTGAAGTGTCTACGCGCAGGGAAATGTTAAAAAAAAAATTTGGGGGTCAAATACGAATTGGAAGTTAAATTAATGTATCGAATTTGAGAAAAAGAAGAGAAATTCTCTGGCACTGTCGGGTTGACGCAAACGGTGAGGACATTTGCCTCCTTTCATTAAAATCCGCAAGGGCTGTTCATTTGTTCCCGTTGAAGAAAATGACATGGGATCTTGGCTTATATAATAGCCAGGTATCTTTGAGAATATACCAACATTAGTTCTTCAATATGTCTCTGTGTTTTGCGTATCTAGGGGTAGGAATTACCCTATTTCAAGATAATTGGTGTCCGTCATTGCTAAAAAAATCGGATATTCGACATTAAGCTTAACGAGTATCGTGGAGGTTATTGAATAATGATTATTGGTATCGTTTTGCCAGCACAATTGCTCGGTCCAATTCGAATTCGATAGATTTTACATCGAAAGTTGGTCGGATTCCGATGGAAGTGCGTTACTTGTAAAAAGATTAAAACTTCCATTGTGTAATTGAAAAATAAGTTCGATAACCTGATTTTTAAAAAAATCAATATTCCATTACTTGTTTGCCTTATGGTGAATGGATCGTAGGTGTTTCACTAGAATTTCTCCCGAGACGAAATATTTTTCAACAAAAGTCGTTTTTCGATTTTTTAATGGAAGAAAACAGGTTCTGCGCAATTTTGGACAAGAAATATCACAGGTCACAAAGAAACCAACAATTTGACTTCAAATAGAATTGATAAAACCGTACAAACACAAACTGTGTCGACAAGGCCTGGAAGACACTATATGACTGAATCGAATGTAAACAAATTGTGCTGGAATTTAATCGATGACAAACCCTGAGCACACAAAGATGATACGTCGGAATTTAATGGACGACGAAGCACCCGTAATAAAGATACACGCAGAAATTTAATCGATGACGCGAGTCTAGAAAATAAAAGTACAATGCAAGAAAGTAAAGATATTGAAAGATAGTAAATTTGTTTGATTTGTGTGGGAGATCTCCGAAGAGTACGATATGACTATTTAAAGCCTCTAATCGACAGTTATCAACAGAGGTTGTAAATAGAGGTTACAAATAGGGGTTACAAAGGAAAGCTACAAATAGAGGTTTCAAATGGTTACATTGACTCCAATACGTTGACGATTTTTTCGACTCCGCTACATTTACGATTTTTCCGACTCCATTACATTGATGGTTTCATCCGAGATTGTCGACTCCACTTTTTGTCGATTCCTTCAAGCCGTCGATTTATCAAGTTGTCGATTCGTCAAGTTATCGATTCTTTAGATTGTCTATAATTATGTTCATAAATGACCAAACTCTACTCTTATTGACTAAAACCATCACATGTCAAACCAAAAGTTAGTCATTTTTTTTGTGCAAACAAATGTCCCCTTTAAATTAAATAATCAAGAGTCATCATGTGCCCCCTTGTTATCGGCAAATTTAATTTATCATTGCCGAATTTATCTTAGTCAGACTTATCATATGGCTGATATTTTTCCAC